GTTTAACCCTGCTAACTGCTGCTGAATCTGCATTTCATGCAATCCAGTTTGCATGCTGCGGCTGTGATGTCACGGCGCTGGCCTGCGTCCGATGGAGTTTCATGTTTTACGCCGTGGAGCGAGATGAAGCAGCAGGAAGGGCTTCTGTTATCCGAGTCTGTTTGCTGTTCGGTCTGCGGATGACTAACTAGCAGAGGTGGCGTCTGCAGGCTGCACGGACGTAGCCTGAGAACGCAGCGTCCAGCAGGCGGCTGCAGGACGAGCGGCTCAGAGCTGGGAATGAGATGGCGCCGGGATGAGACAGGATTCTCAGGTCCCGCTGCAATCAGGCAGTCAAGCAGAACCAGAACCTGCAACTAACAACTATTTTGCAAATCGATTAATCTGTTGATTTATTTTTCAATTAATTGATTGATAATTGGACAGTATAAGGTTCCTTAAAAAAGACTTTTTACAAAATTAAAGCAGATGAAACTCAAACTTTCCAAACTTTGTGGGTTTCAGGATAGAGCATATTGAAGATGCAAAAAATGCAAAATGTTAATATTTTTTTACACCTGGGCATAATTACTGCTCTAACTGGGTCACTCAGTCAGCTAGAGTCATATTTTATATTCTCTATACCCCAGTTAACGATGAATCAATTACTAAATTGGTTTTTATTTCAATAATTGATTATTAGATTAACCTGATTGTTTCAGCCCTGCTTTATTGTCAGTGAGGAGCCGGAGTATAGAAGAGACAGAATGGAAATCGGTGCGTTGTTCTGGTGCAGCTGACAGAATAGAGGCAGCTCTGCACTGGCTCAGAGCTGCAGCTCCTCAGATCTCATTCATGGTTCTGCTTCTGTCTCCTTGAACCTCAGTCGGCCTCAGCAGATGGCCGCTCACACTGAGCCTGGTTCTGCTGGAGGTTTCTTCCTGTTCAAAGGGAGTTTTTCCTCTCCACTGTCGCTACAAGTATGCTTAGTGTGAGGGATTGCTGAAGAGTCAATGAGTCGATGCAGTCAGCTGGTTTTTCTTAGTTGGAAAACTTTGAATCAATTTGACTGGATGATCTGGTGAACTGTAAAGTGCTTTGAGATGACATTGTGCTGTGAATTGGCGCTATAGAAATAAACTAAACTGAATTGGTTCTGTTCGGATGGAGATGGTTTTCTTCTTCTGTGGATAAAAACTGGAGTTTTTTTCTCTGAACACAGCATGTGGCGCGATTCGTCCTCTACCAGGAGTTCTGCTGCTCCTCATGGAGCTTCGATGGTCAGACTTTGAGCGCTATTGGCGCCAAAAGCGGTAAAGAGTTTAAAAAAGTGAGTAAAGTTAAACTTACGGATCTTTTCTAGATCTGAAAGATGACAAAGTCACTTTATTACAAGAGAATTGGATTCTTTTAGGAGAAGTTTATTCTTTTGGGGGAGAGAAATGCTTTGTCTTGTTTTGAAAACTTCCCCCTGAAATAAAGGTTAGCACAAAGCCAGTCGAGGAGGGCAGCTGTACTCAGGTTTTAGAGCTTTCTGATTTCCATTGATGGCTGATTGCAGGCAGTTGTTGAACTGCAGCAGAGAACCTGTAACACCGGCAGGATGGCGGCCCTCCTGGATGGACTTGGACCGGCCTGAACTAATGTCCATTTTGACTTTTGGTCCGAGGCCAAACAAATCATTAATAGGGCCACAAACGGCCCCCAGGCTGGACACTCAGTCTTACAGTGCGAGTGAGGAAGAGCAGATGAAGCAGAGAGCCACTGACTGTCCCCGTCCCGTCCAGGTTTTTGGGTCCTCGGTTCGAGTTCTCTCCCTGACCGGATGTTGTAAATGTTTCCCGTTTCTGTTCGACCGGCGGAGCGTCGCCAACCCCTGTCTCTTCGCTGTCCAGAAAAGGAGGGGGTTGCTATGGCAACCGGGAGACGGACTTGTCGGCGTCCAGGGCTGGATTTCCAGCTCCCAGCGGCGTCAGGGTTCCTTGGAAAGGTCCCATATTTTTTTTGGACCCAGATCAGCGTAGAACCGGGCCAAATGCCACGTCCTCCTCCTGCAGCAGCTTCACAGCCTCTTTTCTTTCTTCATCACGGTTTATTTCCTGCGTCTCCATCTTCTGGTTTCCATGGCAACCCAGCAGAGGAGCAGGAGTCTCCTTCGTCTGTCCTTTATGATGAAGAGGAAAGGCAGTGAGCACAAGGAGTTACTATGGCAACCTAGGGTAGTGGCAGAGCACTGTTCTAGTTCTGAGAACAAGAAGCAGTACCTTCGGGCCGGCTGCAGGTTAGAAGGTTTGCTGCTCATCCAGCAGGAGAGGCTCCTGTGAACTCAATGACTGGAATGTCACAATAAAAGTGATGGATGCCTTTCATAATAAAAGCCCAACTTATTCTTTGCTAAAATGTTTGATGTAAGAACGGAAAATCAGCCTGTCGCTCCTCTGAAGTCTCTAGGTGTGTGGTTTCTCTGAAGGTTCTCAGTCTATTGTTCCTCTGAAGGTTCTCAGTTTATTGTTCCTCTGAAGGTTCTCAGTTTATTGTTCCTCTGAAGGTTCTCAGTTTATTGTTCCTCTGAAGGTTCTCAGTCTATTGTTCCTCTGAAGGTTCTCAGTTTATTGTTCCTCTGAAGGTTCTCAGTAGGGGTGTAAATAATAATCGTTTTGTATCGATACATCGATCCAAAAGCCGACGATCCGATGCATCGACACGTCCGCAAGATAATCGATTCATGTTTTTTTTTTTCCTCCGGTCTATTTTTATCCATTTGCTCCTGGACGTATTCTCCCTCCTGTGCTGCGGTGCCGCTAAACCTATTTTGCCCTCCTACCGCGCTTCCTGGTTATACTCTCACAGCAGTGTGTTGCAGCAAGCTTCACACAGACATTTTTAAATTATGCTCAGTATTGAAGCGTGGTCTGGGCTACACGCTGTGGGTCTACATACGGCCGAGGCGATGAGGAAGTGGGGGCGAGTTTAGTCCGACGACGGAGGGACAATGGGGCAAAAAGAGCGGAGATCCAGGTGGAAAAAGGGTCCCAGCGTTCTCGCGCACCTTGCTCTTCTAGCGGGTCAAACTTCACGAGTTGTTTTCCGCAATTTCGGTCATAAAAACAAAACAAGCCGGCCTCCTGTCTGGTGCACTGTTTGCGGTCAGCTACAATCTGGGAGAGGTGCAGCGGAGCGTCTCTCAAGGGGGCGGTGACGTCAACACTCTGGAGCCTTCTTCTTCTTCTTTTTTTTAATGGCGGTTGGCAAACAACTTATAGGTGCATTACCGCCACCTTCCAGAATGGAGTATGGACCAGACAAACTATTATATTCTCCCTAAAATACCCGTTCTTCTTAGAAAATTAAAAATACTACCAAAAACTACATCCCCAGATGACCTTTGAAACAATACCCTTATATCTAGTTTATTTTTATTCCTGTCTAACTCTCTACACAACATCTCTCTTTCCTGAGTATATTTATTACATTCTAAAAAAATATGTTGGACAGTTTCTCTGGAGCCGAGGTATTGCATTGAACTCATTACACTGATATTGTGCAGTATTTTTGCAGTATTTTTTGATGCAACTTTTCTTCTGTTATTTGCTGTTGTTTCTAAAGAAAATGCATAATGATATTACAGCTTTCATTGATTTATTTCAAACTTGAAACTTTGTTTACCCTGTAAGGTGTAAAAAAATTATAATAATAATAATAAAAAATTAATCGATTAATCGAATCGAATCGTGGTGTATTCTTGAGTATCGAAAATAATCGAATCGTTGGGTCAGGAAATCGATACTGAATCGAATCGCCATGATGGATGTGATTTACACCCCTAGTTCTCAGTCCGTGGTTCCTCTGAAGGTTCTCAGTCTATTGTTCCTCTGAAGGTTCTCAGTTTATTGTTCCTCTGAAGGTTCTCAGTTTATTGTTCCTCTGAAGGTTCTCACTTTATTGTTCCTCTGAAGGTTCTCAGTCTATTGTTCCTCTGAAGGTTCTCAGTTTATTGTTCCTCTGAAGGTTCTCAGTTTATTGTTCCTCTGAAGGTTCTCAGTTTATTGTTCCTCTGAAGGTTCTCAGTCTATTGTTCATCTGAAGGTTCTCAGTTTATTGTTCCTCTGAAGGTTCTCAGTCTATTGTTCCTCTGAAGGTTCTCAGTTTATTGTTCCTCTGAAGGTTCTCAGTTTATTGTTCCTCTGAAGGTTCTCAGTTTATTGTTCCTCTGAAGGTTCTCAGTCTATTGTTCCTCTGAAGGTTCTCAGTCTATTGTTCCTCTGAAGGTTCTCAGTCTATTGTTCCTCTGAAGGTTCTCAGTTTATTGTTCCTCTGAAGGTTCTCAGTTTATTGTTCCTCTGAAGGTTCTCAGTTTATTGTTCCTCTGAAGGTTCTCAGTTTATTGTTCCTCTGAAGGTTCTCAGTCTATTGTTCCTCTGAAGGTTCTCAGTCTATTGTTCCTCTGAAGGTTCTCAGTCTATTGTTCCTCTGAAGGTTCTCAGTCTATTGTTCCTCTGAAGGTTCTCAGTCTATTGTTCCTCTGAAGGTTCTCAGTCTATTGTTCCTCTGAAGGTTCTCAGTCTATTGTTTCTCTGAAGGTTCTCAGTTTATTGTTCCTCTGAAGGTTCTCAGTCTATTGTTCCTCTGAAGGTTCCCAGCCCGTGGTTCCTCTGAAGGTTCCCAGCCCGTGGTTCCTCTGAAGGTTCCCAGCCCGTGGTTCCTCTGAAGGTTCTCAGTCTGTGGTTCCTCTGAAGGTTCTCAGTCTGTGGTTCCTCTAAAGGTTCTCAGTCTGTGGTTCCTCTGAAGGTTCTCTGTGCTTAGCTCTTGAGCTAACTGCTAACATCTGCTGAAGCAGGGTGCTTTGTGTCGACCTCCTTCCATGGTTACCATGGTTACACAGATGTTCCTCCTCAGACTCTCCTTCCTCCATCCCATAACTTGTGGGAATCGGTCCATTTCGCCCCTTCACAATAAAAGCCTCTCCTCCCCTCATGTTCTGTAATCACGCTGACGTTCTCCTCCGTTCTCCTCGTCTGCAGCCCACCGGATACATGGAGACCTCTCTGTCCTACAGCTCCATAGAGGACCTGCAGCTGCTCTCCTGGGACAACGCTCCCAAGTACTGCGTCCAGCTCAGCATCCCTGGAGGCACCATCCTGCTTCAGGTGAGTCCCACATGAGAACCATGATGAACCGTCCTTCCCTTCACCTACTGATGGACCTCAGAGAGGAAACCAACATAGACCTCATGGTGGTTTAGTGTCGCTGTGGGCGGAGCTTTTTAACCAGCACATAGAACAGAATAGAATAGAAACATGGCAGTGAGGATCTAAGCAGGATGCAGATTCACATAAAGGAGAATAAGATCAGAGTCTGGACAGAACTGAAAAACCACAAACATCAGGCTTTTCAAAAACACTCAGAAGGGAATAGAAGTGAATGTTAGAGATGCTAAACCAGTCGCAGCGCGTCGCTCCAGTACTGGGTTAACTGGTCTGGAAGCCATGGTGTCGAGTATAAAACCTTGTTCGAGTCACTTGTTCATCTTTAATGAGGAGTGAATCGTTTTTGTTAGCCTGTTTGTTTGGACCCGACTAAGAAGCTGCTCTGTCTTCTTGTTGCCGCAGGCTGCTAACGGCTACCTGAGGGACCAGTGGTTTCACTCCCTGCAGTGGAAGGTGAGCTCTTGGTTTATCTACATCATGTTCCTTTTGGTGACTCGTTCAGGTTTCCTTTTATCTCGGATCCGACCTGCAGACCTGTCCACACACAGAGCTGCAGCCTGACAGCGGCACGAGAAATGACTCACAGAGTCAGAAGTTTGAAACAGAAGGAAATCTATCCTTTCATTATCAGATAATGTTGAACCCACAGCTCCTCATGCAGCCATTTCAACCGGAAGAAATAAGGTTCTTCTAGTCTTCTCAGACTAGAAGGTTCTGAAACATCCTCCATGTAAACCGCATCTAAAGTCCAAACTAGTTAGAAGCACATCAGGACAGGCTGACCTTACAGAAGCAAACCCGGTCTGATCGAACGTCTCGCCTGCAGAAAAAGATCTACAAGTACCGGAAAGTCCTGAACAACCCGAGTCGCTGGGATGTGGTGCTGAAGGAGATCCGAGCGCTGGTGGACATGGCTCTGACGTCTCCTCTGCAGGACGAGTCCATCCACCAGGCCCCGCTGCACATCATCTCCACGCTGCTGGCAGAGGTTGGTCATTTCCTGCTGTGGGCTGCACATGCAGACACGCACCCACGGACACGTGCACCTGTGGACGTGTCCATAGAAATACGAACAGGGATACGGGGGGTTCCGTTTGAATGTCACGCTTCAGTTCTGAATTTTTAGCAGACTGACCTGAAGCTGAAAGGAAGCCATTTATTTTTTATTTTTTTTTAATGCCTGGACTGGTTCTGGGACTCATTGAGCCGGTTCTGCTGCGCTTTCTCCACTGACAGTCTTTGTTTCTGGTTCTGTCTGCAGAACTCCAACCTGAGCGCTCAGGACCACGAGAACATCATTGTGGTGAGTTTGGGTTCCCAGTTTTTACCGCCGTTGATGCAGGTTTTTGTGCCACTCTGGTTCTGAGTTCTGGGTTTCTTTGTGCTCCTTTGAAGGCGATCGCTCCTCTTCTGGAAAACAACCATCCCCCCCCCGACCTGTGTGAGTTCTTCTGTAAGGTGAGCTGAGCGGCAGAAACCCGGTGCGGCCCGTCTGAGTCGGGTCGCAGGTTTTTGACGCCTTTGCTGTCGTTGCAGCACTGTCGGGAGCGGCCGCGGTCCAAGGTGGTGATTGAGGTCTTCACTCCTGTGGTCCAAAGAATCCTCAAACACAACATGGTGAGAAATGGACCGCACCAGAACTGTTCAGCGACTCCGAGGTCCAAACACTCGCACAACTTCCACAACTCTGGGTCAGAACTCGTCAGGGAAGCTGAAAACCTTCAAATGGTTCTGGTTCCTGTCCAGCTGGTTGTTCCTCTGAATAGGCCCCTGAAGAACCTTCTTCCTGTTTGATTATTCGGTTCTTTTCAGCTGCCTAGTCTGGCAGGGTCAAAGGTCAAAGCTGGACCTTTGTCCAGTAGAACAGAGCCTAATCCTCTAGGTCCCCAGGTCCAGTAGAACAGAGCCTGTTCCTCCAGGTCCCCAGGTCCAGTAGAACAGAGCCTGATCCTCCAGGTCCCCAGGTCCAGTAGAACAGAGCCTGTTCCTCCAGGTCCCCAGGTCCAGTAGAACAGAGCCTGATCCTCCAGGTCCCCAGGTCCAGTAGAACAGAGCCTGTTCCTCCAGGTCCCCAGGTCCAGTAGAACAGAGCCTGTTCCTCCAGGTCCCCAGGTCCAGTAGAACAGAGCCTGATCCTCCAGGTCCCCAGGTCCAGTCGAACAGAGCCTGTTCCTCCAGGTCCCCAGGTCCAGTCGAACAGAGCCTGTTCCTCCAGGTCCCCAGGTCCAGTAGAACAGAGCCTGTTCCTCCAGGTCCCCAGGTCCAGTAGAACAGAGCCTGATCCTCCAGGTCCCCAGGTCCAGTAGAACAGAGCCTGTTCCTCCAGGTCCCCAGGTCCAGTAGAACACAGCCTGATCCTCCAGGTCCCCAGGTCCAGTCGAACAGAGCCTAATCCTCTAGGTCCCCAGGTCCAGTAGAACAGAGCCTGTTCCTCCAGGTCCCCAGGTCCAGTCGAACAGAGCCTAATCCTCCAGGTCCAGTAGAACAGAGCCTGATCCTCCAGGTCCCCAGGTCCAGTAGAACAGAGCCTGTTCCTCCAGGTCCCCAGGTCCAGTAGAACAGAGCCTGTTCCTCCAGGTCCCCAGGTCCAGTAGAACACAGCCTGATCCCCCAGGTCCCCAGGTCCAGTCGAACAGAGCCTAATCCTCTAGGTCCCCAGGTCCAGTCGAACAGAGCCTAATCCTGTAGGTCCCCAGGTCCAGTAGAACAGAGCCTGATCCTCCAGGTCCCCAGGTCCAGTAGAACAGAGCCTGATCCTCCAGGTCCCCAGGTCCAGTAGAACAGAGCCTGATCCTCCAGGTCCCCAGGTCCAGTAGAACAGAGCCTGATCCTCCAGGTCCAGTAGAACAGAGCCTGATCCTCCAGGTCCCCAGGTCCAGTAGAACAGATCCTGATCCTCCAGGTCCCCAGGTCCAGTAGAACAGAGCCTGATCCTCTGGGTCCCCAGGGAACAGAGCCTGATCCTCCAGGTCCCCAGGTCCAGTAGAACAGATCCTGTTCCTCCAGGTCCCCAGGTCCAGTAGAACAGATCCTGATCCTCTAGGTCCCCAGGTCCAGTAGAACAGATCCTGATCCTCCAGGTCCAGTAGAACAGGGCCTGATCCTCCAGGTCCCCAGGTCCAGTAGAACAGATCCTGATCCTCTAGGTCCCCAGGTCCAGTAGAACAGATCCTGATCCTCCAGGTCCAGTAGAACAGGGCCTGATCCTCCAGGTCCCCAGGTCCAGTAGAACAGATCCTGATCCTCTAGGTCCCCAGGTCCAGTAGAACAGATCTTGATCCTCCAGGTCCAGTAGAACAGGGCCTGATCCTCCAGGTCCCCAGGTCCAGTAGAACAGATCCTGATCCTCTAGGTCCCCAGGTCCAGTAGAACAGATCCTGATCCTCCAGGTCCAGTAGAACAGGGCCTGATCCTCTAGGTCCCCAGGTCCAGTAGAACAGATCCTGATCCTCCAGGTCCAGTAGAACAGGGCCTGATCCTCCAGGTCCCCAGGTCCAGTAGAACAGAACCTGTTCCTTGTCTCAGACCAAGCAGAGAATGGCCATGGCTCCATGTCTGCGTTGTTCTCTGGTTCTGTTCTGACCCGTTAGCTGCTGCTGGAGCGGTTCCTCTTGGGTTCCTCCAGGTTGTCCTCAGTGTCCTGTCCTCTGTCCTCTCTGCAGGACTTTGGGAAGTGTCCTCGGCTGCGCCTCTTCACCCAGGAGTACATCCTGGCTCTGAACGAGCTGAACGGAGGCATGGAGGTGGTTCAGAAGTTCATCCACAGGTGAGCGGGTTCCTCTGAGTCTGTAGGTGAGAAGCTCAGCGCCTCGGGCTAACCTCCACCTCCTCCTGTGTTGCAGCATGCATGGCCCCACGGGGCAGTGCCCCCACCCACGGGTGCTCCCCAACCTTGTGGCCGTCTGCCTGGCTGCCATCTACTCCTGCTATGAGGAGTTCATCAACAGGTCAGTCTCCTCCTGCTCCATTTTTCCGTTAATCATCTATGTTTCCAGCTGCGATCACTCTGACCTTGTGGGGTCTTTGCCTCCATGCCGCCATTGATCAGACGAACGCTGTTGCTCCTCGTTTCCACATCCAACAGGAAAAGGGAGAAACTGTCATTTCCAGTTGCTAGCAGGAAGGCATCCCATAATCACATCGTTCATCAGAGCCTTTATAGCTCTAAGCTGATTTGCTGCATTGCATAGAAACACACCAACAATTATAGCAACTACTGAGGAGAAAGCCCTGCTGCCAGCAGTCGTTTTATTTTGGTAGTCAAACGTTTAATTTCCTGTTAAAAGAGGCTGTCTGATCCGACAGTCATGATCCGTATAGAAAACGCAGCACAGGAAGGTGTTGAAATGGCCTAGTCAAAGTTCGGAGCAGAAGCAGCCTTCTCTGCTCAGAGGGAAAACAACAGCTGATGTTTGGGGTGTGAAAACTTTAGGCAAGAACTGTCAGATGAAAGCCCTTTCCAGGAATCCATGTTTGGATGTTCTGGTAGTTTCCTTCGGGGCCTCGTTAGCTCCGACCCCAGAGCCTCTGTGCTCCCGCAGCTCTTGTATCCATAGCAACCATCACGCCTTCTCTCCCTTCACGTCTCCCTCTGATGTTTGTCCCCCCTGCAGCAGAGACAACTCCCCCAGCCTGAAGGAGATCAGGAACGGCTGCCAGCAGCAGAACGACCGCAAGCCGCCGCTGCCGCTCCGCCTGCTGCGGCCAGAACCCCCGACTCCGCCCCCCGCCACCATCCTGCCGTCCGGCTCCCCCAGCCCCCCCGAGCCGTCTCCATCCACCCCGTCCATCCCCGTCTCCTCCCCTCCTCCCTCCACTGTCAACTCTAGCGAGATCCTGGTGGAGCTGGAGCGTAACAACAACACGACCAATGCCAAACGGAAGGGCGGGCCTGCAAGGGGCGACAGCGAGCCCAACCTCATCGACTGTCTGCTGGTCAGCCCGGCTGTTAACACCCTGTCCATCCAGCTGCCGGCGCAGGCGGACCGGGTGCTCGGCTGCTTCGCGCTCATCCTCAAGATGCTGTAAGTTCACACAGTAATGTTTATCGCTTCAAAGCTTGTTTCAGAATGAAGCCCTTTAATTAAATGAAATTATGACTTTTCATTTTCTCCTGCATTGAGTGGGTTTTATTCAAATTTATATCACAAAGCAGGAAAAATGGTTCAGCTCCGTCAAAAGTCAAAAACTTCCTATTCAGCTCTTTACAGATTATCGGTAATCCTCAGAAAGGAATAAATCAGAGTGCAGAGCGAGCGCGCCCAGACCTCCAACCTCTGACATCTATGATGCAGACAGGAGCAGACGCGCTGCAAATACATGCATGAAGCAAAAGACACAAAAATAAACAGAGAACAACCTGCTGCAGAGACATAAACCAGACCCAGATGAGAAAAGCTAAAACCGGCTGCAAACAGAAACCCTCCAGACCACCAGGGGGAGTCGCCCACACGCTCAGACGGTGCTGTCCTATGATCACCATCGGCTCCTCTACTGTCATTACGCTACTAAAAGTACCCATTTCTATCCTGCCGTCAAAGATGCTAAACTACTTTGTATAAAAATAACTCTTCAGAGATATTTATATTCTGATTGTAAAATTGCTTTTCTGTCATCATCAGTTGTTTTCAGAGCAGTCTGGCTAAATATGTTCAGTGTTTATCTGTATTTTATTTCCTTAGATTATGAACTAAAAAGCATGAAAAACAAACATTAATTACAGGATTTCCGTGGGTCAGTGAAAATAGTTAAGTCATTAAATTATTATTTTTTAAATAAAGGCCTCAATTGGTATTAAAATTAATTAAATGCAATTATTGTGACATTTATAATGCTTTATTTAAAAAACAACAAAAAAAGAAAAATGTTTTACAAGGCGCAGTGGGTACCATGCGGGAGAACATGGAATTTGCATGTTCTCCCTAAGCATGCGTGGGTTCTCTCTGGGTACTCCCGCTTCCTCCCAAAGACCAAAAAAATGACTGTTAGGTTAATTGGCTTCTCTAAAGTCTTCTTAGGTGTGAGAGTCAATGGTTTGTCTCATTTGCCTCCATGTAGCCCTGTGATGAACTGCCGACCTGTCCAGGGTGACCCCGCCTCTCACCTGTAGACAGCTGGAGATAGGCACCACCATCCCTCCTGACCCCGCTTCAATGACGGGAAATGGATGGATGGATATTTGCGCGGAACTGCTTCTGGTTGACCGTAAAGGCATAGGTTTGGAAAAGAAGCTTGAGGTAGAGAAATAGCTAGAGAATGAGGAAAATGCAAATTTCAACAAAATTGGCTGGAAAACGAGAAAGTCTGGACCTGGCTGCAGCCTGTCGACAGATTTATTTATGTATATATATATATGTGACTCTTATATACGAGAGTCATGGGTAGTTGTTGATGGCATTAAAATAATTTCTAAGAGCATTACATTAGAGTTACTCATTCCCGTACAAACCCTGAATTGATACAATTATTTCCAAATCTGAAAAATCAACCACTGGAAGTCGGAGAGGATCGCAATTCACAGAGAGACGAGTGATGAAACTGAATTTATACTCTCAGGAAAGTCGTTATTAACTGTTTAAATGTGTTACCTCAAGAAGATTTATAAATTTTATTTAACAAGGGAAAAAAGTAATCTATGATCCGGATGGTTCTGGTGGCACAAATGCAAAAGCTGATTGTCCAGATATGGTGGTAAAGAAACCACTCTGCAGACATTTCTTCTTCTTGGGATGTTTATTTATTCTCAGCTTATTGTATGTCTGAGACGTGTCATAAACACACTGAAGAAATACAACATTCATTAATAAATAAAATCAAACTGATCTCAGTTTTGTGTTTGGAGATGCAGAAGCAGCAACCTCCAACTGGTGTAAAGAGACTCTTCTCTAGATATGGGATAAGATCAGGAAATGAAAGACGGTCCCTGCAGGCGCCAGCTGCAGCTTAAAGGAACTTTGGACCTGGTTTGGTCATAAAAGCTGTCAGCCAACTGTTGTGTGTGGTAAAATAGGCGGGATCTGCTGATTAGAGGTGCAGGGTGGGGCGTTGACCTACAGACTATTAGTCCTTTCTATGTTACATTAGCGCCGCTGCGCCCATGTTGCACCTTGGCTGCTCCTCACTGATTTCTTGCTTTCCTTTCAGGTCGGACTACGATGACTGGAGGCCGGCTCTGGCCAGCCTCCTGCAGCCCATCCCCTTCCCTAAAGAGTGAGTTTTCACATCCTCACTTCCTGCTCATTCAGCCAAGCCAACAGGCAGCAGTTTAATATCAGCATGGAAGCAGCAGGCGGCTGCTTTGAGCCTCAAAGGAGCAGCTAAAGCAGTGACTTCAGTTAGCAGCTAACTCTGCTATAGAGCAGCAGCACGTCAAAGGCTACAGGCCCTGTAGAAGCCCTTCAGAAACTATGCTGGCGGTCCACTCTGCTGTCCGTTTGCAGAGATGTTCCTGCACATCAGCAGCAGGTGTGACCCATAGAGGTCTGGGCTTTTACTAGAATGGAGGTATTCAACAGGAGGTCCACGACCGTTTCATTCACAACACCTGACCCATCAACAAGGAATTAAAATCAGAAATACTTTAATAATCCCAGGGTGAAATTGCTTTTGTTACATTACTCCATCTGTAATAGAGTGACTATAGGATCAGTTTGATAGAACACTCTTTCATACAATATATATAATTAGGGGGTCCCCGCTCCATCTCGCCATCAGTTTGGGGGACCTTAGCCTGGAAAACCTTGAAGACGTGGACTAGACCATTGCAGCAGAGGCGTAACTGCTATTTTCTGATCTGCTGTGGTTCCCCTCTGACACCTGATGACCTCACCTCCTCCCTGCTTTTTGTTGTGGCCCCTGAGGGGCCCCCTGCTGCTGACGTGGGTCGGTAGCTGCGGTCCCAGCCTTCCTGTCCCCAGATAGCTTCTGTTGTTGGCTGGCCCTCCCACAGCTTCATTAGCTGAACATCACTCCAAAGCAGCTGCTTCTCAGCTAGGCCCCGGGGCCCGGTTTGTGCTTCAGGGCCATTAGGAGAGGTGGTGCAGCCGCTGCAAATAAACAAGTCATCCTGGTAGGAGGGTCATTGACCTGCAGAGGAAGCAGCTCAGTCTGTGGGGTGTGATGTTATCCTCTCTCTGGACCTGGACCGTATCATGCGAACACAGAGCAGGGTCCAGGTCCAGGCTGATCGGCAAAATGAAGGGGCTCCAATGGCCTAGTCAAAGCCCAGACCCCAAAAGGTTTGAGGTGATGTGGTTGGACCAATGTGCTGCTTAGACTGTGAAAACAAGCAGGGACACAGAAGCCTTCACTGATGTCCTCCTGGGGACAATTAAAAGCTGAGCTGTGCTCCCAGATGATTAAATGGAAAATGTAACGAGCTTGTTGCTCTTTTTAAACGTTTGAATGTGTCACCAGCATCACTGACGGAAAGTTTTAGCAGCAGGTTCCAAAGTTTGCTGTTCCTCACATCTGTCTGTTTTCTCCTGCAGAGCTCTGGCACACGCTAAATTCACCAAGTAGGTATCTGTTCCATTCCCGTCTGTCCCCGTTTGTCCCAATCCAGCATAGCCTGAGGTTTGTGTCTTTGCCTTAACAGGGAGCTGAAATATGTCATCCAGAGATTTGCTGAGGACCCGAGGCAGGAGGTGAGTGACTCGCTCTGCCTGTTTGTAGGCGTCTGAGTGGAGATGATGTGATCAGCGCCTCTCTGTGGCCCTCAGGTCCACTCCTGCCTGCTCAGTGTGCGCTCCGGGAAGGACGGCTGGTTCCAGCTCTACAGTCCTGGGGGCGTGGCCTGTGATGATGACGGCGAGCTGTTTGCCAGCATGGTGAGATCATCAATGGCAATCACCACGCTAATATTAGCCCACCATGCTAGCATTATCCTTCTTATCACCATGCTAACAGTATCCTACTTATCGCCATGCTAACATTAGCCCACCATGCTAACAGTATCCTGCTTATCACCATACTAACATTAGCCCACCATGCCAACAGTATCCTGCTTATCACCATGCTAACATTAGCCCACCATGCTAACAGTATCCTGCTTATCACCATGCTAACATTAGCCCACTTTGCTAACAGTATCCTGCTTATCACCATGCTAACAGTATCCTACTTATCACCATGCTAACATTAGCCCACCATGCTAACAGTATCCTGCTTATCACCATGCTAACATTAGCCCACTTTGCTAACAGTATCCTGCTTATCACCATGCTAACATTAGCCCACCATGCCAACAGTATCCTGCTTATCACCATGCTATAATTAGCCCACCATGCTAACAGTATCCTTCTTATCACCATGCTAACAGTATCCTACTTATCACCATGCTAACATTAGCCCACCATGCTAACAGTATCCTGCTTATCACCATGCTAACATTAGCCCACTTTGCTAACAGTATCCTGCTTATCACCATGCTAACATTAGCCCACCATGCCAACAGTATCCTGCTTATCACCATGCTATAATTAGCCCACCATGCTAACAGTATCCTGCTTATCACCCTGCTATCATTAGCCCACCATGCTAACAGTATCCTGCTTATCACCATGCTAACATTAGCCCACCATGCTAACAGTATCCTGCTTATCACCATGCTAACATTAGCCCACCATGCTAACAGTATCCTGCTTATCACCATGCTAAAATTAGCCCACCATGCTAACATTAGAATGTTTTGCTGTCTCCAATCCACCAATCAGGGACTCCCCTGCAGGCGGTCAGTAAGCGTTGCAGCTGTTATAACGTTTTACCAACTGTATCAGAGACTGGGAAACGATGGTAAACCAATCACAACCACCTGCTGAGGTTGCTAACGCCACTTTTGCATTGAAGAGCAGCTAAAAATGATTAAAGATAAGACAAAAGAATTTCAGGAAGATCATAGCGGTATAAAGCTTATAAAAAAAAAAACAAAGTCCTACATTTCATAAAAGTGAGGTTCTGGTTTGGCATATAAGCACCCGCAGACATCCTCTCACTGGAGGTCAGCTGTTCCCCATCTGGTTGAAGTAGTAACTATATCTTTATGTCTAGATGTATAAAATGTCTTGATGCTGATCTTTGAGCTTCTGGCACCATTTTCATGTTGGTAAGGAGGTGTAGCGAGCTGCAGATGTAACGGGCCGTGGTCTCTCTCTCTCCTTCAGGTTCATATCTTGATGGGGTCCTGTTATAAAACCAAGAAGTTCCTCCTCTCTCTGGCAGAGAACAAGCTGGGTCCCTGCATGCTGCTGGCGCTGCGAGGGAACCAGACCATGGTCGAGGTGAGACAATTATCTGCATGGTTATCATTTCCTACTGTTCTAATTTCCTAAGGATGGCTCTGGAGGTCAGCAGGTGGCTGTTGCACCTCGTTAGACTAAACAATCCTTCCTGAATCTGGTGCTGGATGCCTGGTGTCCTTCACCTTTTAGATGGCTCTGCTCTGACACCTAAATTAATTGCTGGACTCAGGTATGTTGACTCTGGTCCGATTCTCTGCTCCTGTTTTCAGATCCTGTGTCTGATGCTGGAGTACAACATCATCGAGAACAAAGACACGCAGCTGCAGATCATCTCCACCCTGCAGAGCACGCAGGTGGGCTTCCGCATGTATGAGCAGCTCTGCGACCGCCAGCGGGAGCTCAAAGAGCTGGTGAGTCTCTGCAGCAAATCGGGTCAGAGGGGTCTTTGTTCCGTTACAGACGCCGCATCTTTACAAGATCCCTGATTCCTAAATACCGTAAAAACAAAACTGAGCTGAAATAAATGCTGTTTTTTCTGTTTAACTCTCATGACCAAAGTTTGCATTTTTTTTAAATCAAATCTATAAAAGATTTAAATCAACCACCGTTTTCCCCCCAGCAAAGGAAAGGAGGTCCGACACGGTTGACTCTGCCATCCAAGTCCACGGTGAGTTCCCCTTTAGATATTCCTTCCTGACTCACAGACGGCCGCTAACAGTTTTCACGATCTCCTCTGTGCTGCAGGACGCGGATCTGGCCCGCCTGCTGAGTTCAGGCTCCTTTGGGAACTTGGAGAACTTGAGCCTGGCCTTTACCAACGTCACCAGTGCCTGTGCCGAGCAGCTCATCAAGCTGCCGTCGCTCAAACAGCTCAACCTCTGGTCCACTCAGGTGAGCGGGAGGATGTCAGCAACAGGTGGGGGCAGGGTGGAGCGTGGAGGACTCATCTGTGCTCTGTGTGCTCTTTACAGTTCGGGGACGCGGGGCTGCGGCTGCTATCAGAGCACCTGGCCTGCCTCCAGGTCCTGAACCTGTGTGAGACTCCGGTGACGGACGCCGGTCTGCTGGCGCTGAGCTGTAAGAGACGCACAGCAAGGAACCCGGTTCTGGTGGAGCGGTTCCGCTGACGCTGCTGCTCTTTGTCTTTCAGCCATGAAGAGTCTGTGCAGCCTGAACATGAACAGCACCAAGCTGACGGCAGACACCTACGAGGACCTGAAGGTAACGGCTTATAGCCCCGATTTTGATCGCAGTAACAGACGCAGCTTTTCTCTGTCACCTCAGCATACCCCATCAGGCCAGCATACCCTTAGTACGCTGGAAAATGTTTTTATCTAGTCTAAAGTCATTTTTTTCTTAAAATAATTGAATGTGTTCTTGGATTAAGGAGGTAAAAGAGACATTTTGCCAAAAGAACAAGACAATTTACACTTAAAATAAGAAAACACAATTGCATTGTCTTATATCAAGTACATGTTACCTAATTATCTTATTTTAAGAGTAAAAATACTCATTCCATTGGCACTCTCATTTACCTACTCAAATTAAGGGGAAATACACTTCATTTAAGAATTTTTTACTTATTTCTAGATCGTTTTTTCAATGTAATCTGCGTCTATGCGCATGATCGTTATTAGAGTGAATCCTAATCCTAACCCCAAAGTCATTCCTCTACCCCTAAAGAATTGATTAGCTATTTATATGTAATCTGGAAATAATTTCCGTAGTTCTTCATGTGCTGTAAAAATAAATAAAAATAAAATGATCCGCATGTTGCTTGTATTTAACAAATTAAAAACAAATAAATCTCATATCCTTTCAACTGGGTTGTAGAATCCTCTCCCTATAAATATTTAATTTTCTATGAAAAAATGTTGATTATTCTTTAAAAAGATCCTCATCTAACTGACATGCAATGTTTGTTTTTAAACCTAATGTGTGTGACGAACCTAGTAAATTATTTTTTTTTGTCATTTTATGCAAAAACTACAACAAAAAAACGGACTAAACCGCAAAATAAAACGGCGTGCTTGGATGTAAGGAGAGCGGAGACGGAGTTAACCCTATTTAATGCGTATTACGTAGGGTATGCTGAACACTGGATCTGGTTCTGATCCGATTGCCGTCCTCCGACTGATCAGACCTGAAATGAACCAACAGCTGTTATTTTGTGTAGAAGCTCTTCTCTGGAAGCTTTAAGCAGCTGCTGCTCTGCAGACCAGAGGAACTGACGGCTGATCATCCTCATCACTCTGAGCCACGTCAGCTTTGGTCCTGAGTGACGATGATAATGATGAACTCTTTCTCCCGTCTCCCTGCAGGCCAAACTGCCCAACCTGAAGGACGTTGATGTCCGCTACACGGAGGCCTGGTGATCCAGAACCTCAGCGCCGGAAGGTTTCTTATCTTCATCAACGGACCTCATCCCTCCTCTTCCTCTCCAAACTTTGAGTTCCCCCTCCTCCGTCCTTTTGCCTGAAACGGTTTCATATACCCTCCTCCTCGGGAAAGCTCAGTCCAGATCAGTTTCCCCACTGGTTCTGACCCAACGTCACACCGTCCCATCAGCTCCTTACCCCTCGGTAAGGAGGGGTAAATCCATCTCTGGGCCGTTTAAGGTTCCGTGGTTCTGGTTCCTGGACTTTTAATCAAAACTCATGAGGAAAGACATTAAATGGTGTTTTCGAAGGACGTTTGACTGATTTATCTTTGTTTCTCCAGAGGTTCTGATCAGCAGGTGGATCGTTTAAAAAGATTATTTATGTACTACTGCACCTGAACGCACCGCAACGTTAAAAGGCTGGACAGGAAGAAACTGAGATCAGGCCACTTGGGTCAAAAGTCCTAGACTTTTGTACCGACGCAAAACCACATTACGCGTTAACAGGATGCAGCGCTACACAGGAACCAGAAAAGGACTCGATCAGATTCCTGAACGGACCAGAACCAAGCTTTTTTTTTTTTTTTTTTAAGACTCATTTTTCCAGGAGGGAGGCGCTCCGTCGTTTTCTAGTTTTTAATCCGGATGGAAGAACAGAACCACTAACCCTGGAACCTGTGGCCCGTCACTGATCCACTCTGACCTCTGCTGGTTCTGTTTGGACGTGTTGCCAAAACCGAACCTCGTCTATCCGGCCATGTTCTGCTCCAAGCTCCTGTACATATCGGATGGAGTCGGCCAGCAGAGCAACGCGTTTTTGTTTGCTATTTATTTGTTGCCATCGGTTCTGACCCGACTATGGAGGCCCGGTCCGGTCCGGCTGTACAAAGCGCTGTATATAGTCGTCTTTTTGGACCTTTCCTTTTTCAGGCTCATTTTCTGTCTTCATCCAAATGTTTCATCTCCTTTCCTGTCTTGTTTTTTTTTTGCACGTATGCGTTTCTGCACCATCTAATGTTTTCATTTTGTAATTTCTATTTTATAAAATGTTTGTAAAATCTGAAAAAGGGGTTTGATCACTTCTCTCCCTGAAGGCGAACGACTGAAGTGGTTCCATTTGATCCTCAACTGGCCGGCGATCCAGGAATCTGGCGTAGCTCAGCTTCATATTTTAATGTGGTCATTTTTATACTGATGATGATGCACATATTTGTCTTTTCTTAAAGAATGTTGTTTAGATAATCATATCAGAGGAGGACCTGCCCACGGCTGGTTTCTACTGGAATGTTTGAATCCCTCATGGAACCAGTTTAGGCAGAACGACTGAGAACAGAAATTAAACTGCTGATATTCTGAAGATGAATCGCTCCAGTTTGAACCTGACTCCCTCCACTACCAGCAGCTGACCAGCAGGGGGCGCTGGCTCTACAGAAATCCACTGAATAAAGGAAAATCCATTCAGTGAAACAGATTTTATTTGGTTAATTTGGATTTTTTTGCCTAATTTTACGTAAAAACATTTCAAGTCTGCATCCAGACCAATGAAATACTTCACAGCAGAAATGTTTAAACTTGCTTTTTAAATTAGACAATCATCCGATGTGACTAACTGGTCGTTTTAAGGCATTTTAATTCTTCCTAAAACTATTAAAATGGTTTAGAGGAAAACATGCAGCCGATCCTCTGGGCCCCTTCTGTGTGTCGCGGTGGTCGAACAGAAACTCCTGGTTTCGTTGGTAGCGATCCGTAGAGCAGCAGATCCGACTGAACGGGTTTTACTTTGTGCTGAAATGTTTGTGGGCCGCTGGAAAAAGGAGCTTTTCCAGTCGCTCTGCTTCTCCTGCTGGGTTATTATTACTGTTATCAATTATAATTATTGCTGCTGCTGCTCCTTGGCTGTTGTAATAAAATACAAAGGCTCTTTGACAGGAAAAATAACGGATGTGAAATAATTTTAATCGAAAATAAAATGTCTGGAGATGTTTCAGCTGACTGAATCATGTCTGGTTTTTCTTCATAACATCCAGTTTCTGTTAAACTGAGTAAAAACCAAAGTCAAAGTCCAGACTGTCTGAACAGCTGTGAGGAACCATGTGGAAACCCAGCAGCCCTGAAATGAAGAACCGGTTCCAGGTCCTGCTGCATCAGAACCTGGAACCGGTTCTCCTTCAAGTGTCTTCGTGGAATCGTCCTGAAAAAGGAAACAACACGGCGGGTCGGGTTCAGGTTCTTCACTTCTACATGGACAGACGGCGATCATCACTCAGGTTGCAAACTTCTTCTGGCGGACCGGAGCAGGCAGCTGAGACATGATGTCCAGCAGGGGGCGCTCCACCACCACCAGAGACCGGTCCTCCATCAGAGCCACACACAGGAGATGCTGTTGGATGAAGAACAGGAAGGAAACATCAAATAGTTTATTTCTATGGCTCATCGGAAGGCGATCCAATCAGATCCTGCTGATTGGATGAGGAGCAACATTGAGTCCAATAACCGGGTCCCAGCTGGACATCGGCATCCTGACGCCGAACTGGGCCTCAGAGGCTTGTCAGCATAATGGAGCCCATAACAGATCAGAACCTTGATTCTCATAAAGCAGGTGGAGGACCAGATGTCCATACCTGGAAGTTCTTGCAGATCTTGAAGGCGTGGCTTTCTCTGGGCCTCTGTGTCTGAGAAAGACTCCGGAGCAGCGCCTGGTTGTAGAGCTTCGTCCGTTCCTCGGGAAGCGGCTGAGCAGAGAGACATCAGGAAAATTATTCTGAGGGACAGGAGGAGGTGGAATCTGGAGGTGATTGTCTTACCAGACTCTGGTCGATGATGCAGAACATGAAGGTGTCGTGCAGGAGAATCTGGGCCGGGTTCCTGGGGTTGAAGGTGATGCCAGTGATGGGCGTGTCCCGCTGTAGCCACAGGGGGTGAAGTCCTCGCCTCTGCAGCTGCCGGCTCCACTGAGTGAACTCCTTCTGCTTCAGGGAGAACTCAAAGATCTGCAGAAGGACCGGTAACGTCAGAGGACACACTATGAGGGACAGAGGACATGCTGGTCACCCACCTGGTGGTCGGCGTGCACGGAGACCAGGCTGCAGCCGCTTGGGTGGACGGAGACCGCTGTGGGGAAGGAGCTGTAAGTCGGCACCGAGCAGTGCAGCTGCAGAGGAAAGGAGACATTGGAATGCGGCTGGAGGACAGCGGGACAGACAGAGGGACATTCAAAGCCGTAGCTTACCGTCTTCTTTTGAAGGTCGAAGACGTGGATCTCGCCGTCAGTGTTTGCTGCAGCGAGCCACTGGCCGTCCTCACTGGGAGACAGGATGTGGACCGGCTGTTTGGAGCCTGAAAACACCAGAACCACAAGGTTAAAAAAACCCAACCAGCCACCAAGGAGACCTGTAAATGGCCCGGTCCTCCCTCACACCAGAACCAAGCCCCTCCCCTGCAGGTCCCAGAGTTTCACGCTAAGCAAGGTTCTGCTTCTGATTTACGTTGCCTGCCAACTCTGCATCTTTTCAGAACTATTTGGACCTCCGTCATCGGCAGGCCCACCCACTTGGTTCCGCTTCTTTATTAAGGGCTAAGAAAGAAACTTCTTCACTCACCTGACTGGTGCCTGAATGTGTGAATGTGTTTTATCTCCGTCTGGTCCAGAGTAACCATGACGACGGAGGACAGAATGGAGGATGCGAACAGTCTGGACGAGTCGGACGAGAAGCAGAGCTGATGGACAGAGCGCAGCTCTCTGGGCAGTTTGGACACCTGGAGGCAAGAAGAAAAGATGGACGTTCTTCATGTTCAAACTATCATGTTTGGTGCTTTCAAACATTTTTATCCCAGTCTTTTCTCGTTAATCGGAATTAAGCAAACATTTGGTCTGTGGCGCTTCAGCAAACCTTCTGGATGCTGATGTTGTTGCTGCTGAGCTGCAGCCTGTAGAGGTGGACGCTGCAGATGGTGGAGTAAGCTAACCAGCCGCCACATGGAGACAACGTGCTGCAGCAGATGTGGTCCTCTCCCTGCAGGGGAAAGCAAACACACAACCGACTAATTCGCCTGATCTTAGGTTAAACGGACACATTTCTGAGCAGCACTTTGTAGATCTAATCATCTAGAGGTAGAAGACGCACAGAGGAAACAGGAACTGCAGAAAGTTCCGCAGCTATTGAAGCAGCAGCCATTGAATGTTAGCACTGGCCACTTCAAATCTTGCTTATGCTAATTAATGCTAATGCTAACCAGTTAGGCTTATGCTATCCAATGCTTGCTCACCCTAACCAGTTATGCTAACCAGTTCTTTCTCATGCTAACCAGTTAGGCTTATGCTATCCAATGCTTGCTCACCTTAACCAGTTATGCTAACCAGTTCTTTCTCATGCTAACCAGTTCTCATTCTAACTAGTGCCTGCTCATGCTAACAAATTCTCATGCTAACCAGTGCTTGCTCATGCTAACCAATTCTCATGCTAACCCGTGCTTGCTCTTGCTCATGCTAACTAATTCTCATGCTAACCAGTGCTTGCTCATGCTAACCAATTCTCATGCTAACTAGTACTTGCTCATGCTAACCAATTCTCATGCTAACCAGTACTTGCTCATGCTAACCAATTCTCATGCTAACCAGTACTTGCTCATGCTAACCAATTCTCATGCTAACCAGTACTTGCTCATGCTAACCAATTCTCATGCTAACCAGTGCTTGCTCATGCTAACCAGTAGTTGCTCATGCTAACCAGTACTTGCTCATGCTAACCAATTCTCATGCTAACCAGTGCTTGCTCATGCTAACCAGTAGTTGCTCATGCTGACCAGTGCTTGCTCATGCTAACCAGTACTTGCTCATGCTAACCAATTCTCATGCTAACCAGTGCTTGCTCATGCTAACCAATTCTCATGCTAACTAGTACTTGCTCATGCTAACCAATTCTCATGCTAACCAGTACTTGCTCATGCTAACCAATTCTCATGCTAACCAGTGCTTGCTCATGCTAACCAGTAGTTGCTCATGCTGACCAGTGCTTGCTCATGCTAACCAGTACTTGCTCATGCTAACCAATTCTCATGCTAACCAGTGCTTGCTCATGCTAACCAATTCTCATGCTAACTAGTACTTGCTCATGCTAACCAATTCTCATGCTAACCAGTACTTGCTCATGCTAACCAATTCTCATGCTAACCAGTGCTTGCTCATGCTAACCAGTAGTTGCTCATGCTAACCAGTACTTGCTCATGCTAACCAATTCTCATGCTAACCAGTGCTTGCTCATGCTAACCAGTAGTTGCTCATGCTGACCAGTGCTTGCTCATGCTAACCAGTACTTGCTCATGCTAACCAATTCTCATGCTAACCAGTGCTTGCTCATGCTAACCAGTGCTTGCTCATGCTAACCAGTGCTTGCTCATGCTAACCAGTAGTTGCTCATGCTAACCAATGGTTACATTTTAAAATCTTTAGATTCTTTTTAGTCCTGTGAATAAATGTACTCATTTTGAAGTGATGACAATTATCCATGCTGGTTGTAAATAGAACTGGTTCCCAGTTAGCCCAGTAACCAGCAGTGTCTCTCCTCCCACCTTCCTCTTCAGCTGGATCAGTTTCTCTGGTTTCCTCTTCACAGGCAGACTCTCCCAGGGCGCTCCTGTCAACCACAGCACCACCACATGTTTACTCTCAGTTCTAGTTACTGTAGTTGCTTTTCAAATTTATAACATAATTAACTTATTTTCAACCTTTCCTTGGTAAACAATTATCAGATTGACGTGTAGATCTAGGTCATCTAGTGGCACCAGATGCAATAGTTATCTTTATGTTGACCACTAGAGGTCAGTATTTTTAACATATGATGTGCTGCTGGTAAAATCCAAAAATGTGAAAAGTTTAAAAAGCAGCAGAAGTTTTGCTCATAGAAAGCGGGTCGCCGCCCTGATGGACTCCAGAAGTTCGCTAAACGGGGACTATGGGTGCGTTGGGTTTCAGCAGCTGCGTCCTCCAAGGACCCGGTCTACTGGGACTGGGTCCTTCAAGGGCTGTGAAATTGAGGCTGGAAGAGTTCGTGTGTGGATTTGAACAGCTGCAGCCTTCTCTGGGTTTCTCCACCCCTCAGTTAGCATAGACTCTATTGCTTAGCAAGTGAAGCTTAGCAGGTGAGGAATTGAGGCTTCTTCTCACTACTGTTCTATGCTAATTACATTTCCAAAGAGCTTCAGCAGCAGTACAGTCATTGCAAATAAAGTTATAGTCCCCACACTGCAGAGTTATTGGAATCTAAGCGTGTCAGCAAAACCCATTTGCACAGGACAGATAAAACCTTTCAATAAACCAAACATTATCCGCCTCATATCTGACTCAATAACAATTTAAAACAACTA